TTTCACTGATACACTAGTTACAGCGGTGAGGAGGTCATGAAGATTATGATGCCAAACACGACAAGCACAAACCCGCATGCTTCCAACAGGAATCAGTCCACCTCAGAGTTCGCGTCATCCAAAGGGTAGCACAAACGACGTTGGTAGAGAGAGATTAGCGTCTCGCTCAATTTCGTTACTAGCCGCCATCAGGACGATAATATCATTGAAGGCTCTGTCAATTCACTGTTCATGGTCCCAGCTACCGCAATTTGCAAGACAGAAAGACCGACGTCCTGCCCCGCCCGTCCGTCCCGCCCCACCTTGCTACAACCGAAGTCATTACCACGAATGACGCCGAATCTCGGCCCTTAAGTTTCCGCCAATTGCTCCACCCGACGCTATAAGGGCCAGCTAGCACGACAAAGACTTTAAAGTGCAAATTTCGTTGCCGTTTCCGTAGTACATAGAAAAAAAATGGCAGTGCGTCTGCGCAGATGCAAGCCAGACAGCTGTTGCAGACGAGAGAGAAGTCGCAAATGGAAGGGGCGACCCAGGATGCAGATGCCGGAAGGAAGGAAGACTGTTAGGGGGTCAGGGCTGTAGTTTTCTGACAGATGAACATTCCGTGCCAAAGGTCACTTGGTATCACAACGGTTGTGAGGCAGCTTAGCAGGATTTACTAAGCAAGGGCAAAGGATATCGCCCAGCCGTGGAAACAAACGGAAAGTCTTGATTAGCATTCCAGGCTTCGGTGATTAAAGGTTCATTAATTACTAGTTGCCGTAATGGTGAAAATATATCATTCACGTCAAGTCATTAGCCGTGCACAAGAAACCAGACACCAATGCCGGCTATTCAAAGTGGCATCAAGGTTGGCGACAGAATAACGCTTGCACAAATAATTCCCATCTAACCACATAGGGTTATCGAATAGACGTCGAATCTCACAAAAAGTCGTCCGAGCTTTCTAAGTGTATGATCATAGTGAAGATTCCTAATAGGTGCTGGCGATACCAGTAACCTCAGAACGCATATTTACGTATAAAATGGTTTACAGACGCCTCACCACCTGATAGGCATTTGTGCAAACCATCTGCATATACACCATTTGTTTTCGAGCGTTAGCAAGTTTATCCTGGAACAAATAACGTTCTTTGTCAAGTGCAATACTTGTATGCACAGCAATTCACCATAAGCCAAACTCAAGGAATAAAAACTTTTTTAAGGAAATTGATTGACTTCCCTGAATACAAAGTAGCGGAAGTTTTCCTGTCTTGGATGGTTCACGGTGAAAAGCCGACAGGTCAGTTTATGGGGGCTAGGTTGCGACTGAACCTTTCCACCTTTCACATTATAAATGCACACCCATAACAGGTTCACCTCGTTTGCTGGCATCCTATGTGGATGACTCACACTACGTGCCTTTTATCGCCAAGCTACGTTCACGATCGTCTAACCCCATGCTTGCTCACGCTCAACCCAATATGAGTCATCCAATAGCAGCTATGTCTACGCAACTGCCACTAATGCCTGTGTGGGAACACAGGCGTATGTGACACTTTTTACCAATGCTGCAAGCGGTGCATATGCAATACGTAAACTTGGTGTCCGCTTTTGTGGACCGATGACGACGCCTCTAACAGAAACCACGCTGGTTCATCGGCAAAACTGGTGCATCTTTACGATTCGACGCAACAGAAAAGATGTCACGTTGTAGGCGGGTACACTGAGGTAACCCGTGAATCCCCTCCCGCCCCCACAAGCCAACAGTCCCTACAGGCTGAGGCAGTTTAGTTGCAACGTACGTCCGCCACCTATGGCAGTGTACAGATGACCTTTGAGTAGTAAGTAGTCTGTGCAACCATAATGTAGAACGCGCTCTTAAACCCACCTTCAAAAAGGGACTATTGCCTACCTTCGCAAAATTAGGCGATAAATGCTAGGTTGAAGAGCATTACTGACAAGGACATGGGGGATTGCAACGACCATTTCTGGCTTATTAGCCGTTGTCAGCCAACCATAGCAAACTTCAGGCGGTGCACCACCCAAGGTTCGAACCTGTGACCTGTTAATTAGAAGTCCAGGGCTCTGATCGTTGGGCCACAGGCTCGTTATCTCATCGGTTTCGGTTGGGAATATTGACGTCGCTGGATAGACGTCCACTGACCGGTCAGGGGTATTACTTGTATGGCTGACTGACGACAGCTAATAAATCAGAAATGGTCATTCCACACTCTTATCTTTGTCGGTATGGTTCTTTTGTCTATGATACTAGCCGCCGTGCGGCTGCTGGCGGGGCTCTGGTGTGAACCCCAAGGCAAAAAGGGAAGAGCGAGTCTCGTAATCTATCGGTGAGCGTTCATCTGCTGGATTCTAGGTTTCTGTGTTCAATTTATTTTCTCAGTTAGTTCAAAAAAGGCAAATTTTCACTTTTATCAGTGGAATCATTCTATTGAGAAGGCAAAAAACAGTTGCTATCCGATTTTGTTACAAAGCTCACAGTTACTGGACCGTGTCACGCAACAGGAGGCAAAAAAAGCATACCCTTGGCGAAATACGTTGAATAGGACACATTTTTTAAGGAGTAGCCGTAATGGCTTACCTTATTCGTTCCACGACTTGGGAGTACAATTCCGGACGCCAGGCAGGCATGTGTGAGATGAGAATGTCGATGTCTGATGGCACCTTCATGTACCGTTCGCTGACCGCGTCGATGGTAGGTAAAACAAATCCGTCGCAGTCAGAGACGCTTGGCGAATTTTTAACATAATTCGAACTGTCACAGGCGTGCATACAGTCTGCTGCTCGAGTTTTCTCACCGACACAGGAGCTCAGACATCGGTGACGGCGCAGTTCGCCCGCGTGTCGACCAGTCATTTTGCTGAAAAAACGCCGGAATGAAAGCTTGGAAGAGGTGAGTGTAAAGGTTGAGCGACCGTCCTGTGGCCGCAGGTCATCGGCTGAGGTCCAGGGTATGCCGTAGATCTTCAAACCCAGCACTTTGCACCAGACGTCTTCGAGGTAGATGGCAGAGGGAAGGTGTTGTTGAATCTCTCTTGGTGACGGCCGTTTCCCAGCGTCCTGCCCAAAGTAGTCCCAACAACCAGAGACAAATATTTTAAAAGGATGCGGTTGTCGCCTGAAGAACTCATTGATACTACTCAGCTTAGTTTTCCAGTCTTCGGAGGCGGGTGTTGAAGATACCTCTGGAGTGTCAGGTGGGCGTTGCAGTCGCTTGAATTTAGGGTATTTGCTAAGCGCAGTATTACTGGATCTACATCTACGTGCGGGCGGACCCCCAAGGAAATCGCCAGAATGGACCAGGATATGACCGTTTGGGAGTTGGTCGGAATAAGAGTCAGAGATTCCACGAGTATCCGAGATGTGAACTACCCTAATAACACTAGCCTTGGGATGGCCAACATCGCCAACGACGTAGACATTTAAGTTTCGGTGACTAAACAGGCTTCCAGAGGCCTGGGAGGCAGTATAGGGGCTCGCAGTTCCCCGGGGGAGAAGTGCGGAGCTGGTGTTCTGAAAATTGGGAGGGGATGGGGCACTGGCCGTAGAACCAATTCCAGGCGCAACGCCTGTGAGGGATTTTAACTCCGATACTTTCATGGATTGTTTGAATTTAGTGTCAGTCAGGTGTGGTCTACATCCAGAGGCAAGTGAGAGTTTCTGCGCACCGATAAAACCCTCGTTGAGCGAGTCGCGGGGAGCTGTTGGGGACACAGTTGATGACACCATAGAAGAGTCGGCAATTTCTGTCAGTCAGGCAATCTGAGGCAGGCGTAATGATATGCCGTTGGTGGGCGCATGTACGAGGGAAGGAGTGGGCGGTTTTAGAGGGGAGTAGTGGTACTCATTTTCATGCATGCTTTGGATTTCGTAAGGCTCTGTCGGTGTCC